GTTGGACTCAGTGATCTTTAAGGTCCTCTTTCTCTGTGATTCTGTGTGTCATAATCTGTAATGGAGTCTTTTCCTTACCTTTACTCCTTAACTAAAATCCAGACAAGATTACAGTATGTTACTAAAATTTAAATCTTTGATTGTTTAAGTCTGTGTTTCAAATATTTGTTAATTCTCATCTGAGGCTGTAGGTTGATGAAGTCACTGTCTTCTATCAGTCATCAAGATCTGTATGTTATGTTAAAAATTCGGCTCAGTTTGATTTAGCAAGAGCCTTGGATGTAATTAAACTGAGACTATTGTAAAGCTGCTTGTCCTGCAGTACGTTGGATGAAAGAATACAGAAACCTTTTTTCTAATGAACAAGATTTTCTTTTTATAATGTTCCCATTTTACTAAATGCCCTGTCTTTGTGGTGTGATAGACACGAGGGAAGCTCAAAGGTATAACACTGACGATTATTTTCTATTTAAAATCAAGAAAGATTAACATTTGTAGTTCTTACCAAGATTTAAGATCTTCTAATCTCCATTTATCATCAGGCATTTTTGTTGTAGATACTTACACATTTGTTTACCTTTAAAGTGAACAGCCCTGTTGAAATTAACTGCCAATGTGTATAAACAACTATGTGCAAAAGTCTTTCCCAAACTGATAACTGAATTAACCATATCAAAAATAGGTAGCAGAACATTTATTTCTATTTGAGCTACCTTTTATTTTAAGATACTTGTGTCTTAGTGCAGTGAAAACTTAATGGAAGGTCTCAGTGGGAAGACCATTTTCTCCTGTTCTGAATATGTTAAAGCTCTCATTTTTACGCCTCAGATTAAAGCATCCAGTTTTAAAATGCACTGATTGTCCCATTTGTAGCTTGGTTTGAATGCCAAGAGCACACTAATGAAAGTGTGTGGGGAAAAAAGCATGACCTTTGTATCACTTTTGGAGTCTGTTTTCATTAGGAAAAAGAATAGGACAGGATAGCAGGGAGAGCAGCTGTAACTCCTCTGTTATGCCTGCTTTCATGTGGCTGAGTAGTCTGAGTGGAAGCTTTACATTTTCTTCTCCCCTACCCAACTTAAAGTTTCTATAAGGATATGAAATCTGGCTTAGAACAGCCATCTGGTTTTCATTTGTTCCTAGAAAATTTCAGTTAATTGTTGTTCCCAGTTTGTGATGCCTGATAAGGCAAAAAAACCCCCTTTCTCTTTATACAGGTTGTACGTGGGTAAGTTAACTATTTACAGGAATTTGGCTAGGAGTATATTTTCGTACAGTTTGTATGCCTTTTTCCATGTACTCGATACTGCTTGAATAGATTTTATACTCTCATGTTGTTCCTCTGAAAATAAATTATGGTTTACCAATTAGTTCTCTGTAGATAGCACTATTTTACACTAAGTATTCTTTTAGGAATGCTGGTTCTGTAGCAGTCGCTGGCATGGATCTTAATCGGAGTGAACAAATGCGTGGCTGCTGTGATCTGTAGTTCCCCCCCTGAATCGCCATCAGGTACTTAAGGACAATATGACCAGTTCCCAGGCCTTGTTTGCTTTATCTGATCTGCTTTTTTGATGGTTTACTTGTTTATTTGTAAAACTGTTTCACTTTTTATAGATTTTACTGGATACTTTGTCAATGCACGGATCAGTTGTGGGTCCTCCAGCTGCTTTTCACTACTTGCATCTATGAGAAATAAATAAATTGAAAGAAAAGATAACCTTATGAATTTCATTACCTTCAGTGGAAGGTGTCATGCTACTTCTGTAAGAGTAGCATAACTTAAATTCCAGGTCCTCTTGGAATTTTCTAAATCCAGTTATCTACTGGATTAAAAATGTATTCCTTCTGTAGTTACTACTACACTGTGTTATATAATACACTGTTATTTCATTTTTTGCAGATTACAGAACAGGCCCATGTTTTACACAAGTTAACAACCAGATGTGTCAGGGCCAGTTAACTGGAATTGTTTGCACAAAAACCCTCTGTTGTGCAACCATTGGGCGTGCATGGGGTCACCCCTGTGAAATGTGCCCTGCTCAACCTCAGCCATGCCGTCGTGGTTTCATCCCTAATATTCGCACTGGAGCATGTCAAGGTAAGCCTTCCGGTTCAAATGTGCTTGACTCTTGTGTTGCCGATATGGGTCTTGAGAACTTTGTGTCCACTTGGAACACAAGAACAAAAAGTGTAACAGTAGCAGGGTTTGGTTTCGCATATGTATGTGTTAGCCAGAATTTCTGTTGCGTAATTCAAAAAAGGGCTTCGACACTGTTTCCTAAAAGAAGTTGGTGTACTGGCTGGATGAGTAGGTGGTGAGGTGGATGGAAGGTTGGCTGAACGGCCAGGCTTACAAAGTGATGATCAGCAGCATGACGTCTAGTTGGAGGCCAGTACCCCAGGGGTCAGTACTGGGTCCGGTCCTGTTTAGCATCTTCATTAATGAGCTGGATGGTGGAGCAGAGTGTACCCTTAGGAAGTTTGCAAGTGACAGCAAACTGGCAGGAGTGGCTGATATGCCAGGAGGTCATGCTGCCATATAGAGGGACATCAATAGGCTGGAAAAATGGGCTGGCAGGAACCTCATGAAGTGGAACGTGGAGAACCACAGAGACCTCCACTTGGGGAAGAACAATACTACTGGATGCTGATGATCTTGAAAGCAACATTGCAGAAAAGAATCTGGGGTCCTGGGTGGTCACCAAGTTGAACATGAGCCAGCAGTGTGCCTGTGCAGCAAAGGCGGCTGATGGAATACTGACCTGTGGAAGAAAAAGTATTGCAAACAGGGTGAGGGTGATGATCCTTCCCTCTCCTCAGCACTGGTGTGGCCACACTTGGGAGTGCTGTGTTGAGTTCTGAGCTCCCCAGAACAAGAGGGAGATGGACCTACTGGAGAGGTACCAGTGAAGGGCCACAAAGATGATGAAGGGACAGGGACATCTCTCCTCTGAGGAAAGGCTGGATGATCTGGGACTCCGCCACTTGGAGAAGGGAAGGCTCATGGAGAATCATATCAGCATATACTTTCTGGAACCTCTAAGTGTTGCTCAGTGGCAAGAAAGGAGGCAGTGGGTACAAACTGGAACATGGGAAAATCCTTCTCAATATCAGGAGCATTTTCTTACTATGGGGGTGGCCAGGCGCTGGCACAGGTTGCCCTGGGAGGTTGTGGAGTCTCCATCCTTCGAAACGTTCAGGAGCCATCTGGACATGATCCTTGGTAGCCTACTTTAGGGGTCCCTGCTGATGCAAGGTGGTTGGACCAGATGGCCTCCAGAGGTCCCTTCCAACCTCAACCCATTGGTGAAAAACATACCAATTCAGGAAGCTTCTGTTGCTCATGGTGTTATAAAAGATTTCAGGGTAGTTACTCTGTTCCTGCTTCAAAAGAGGCTATATAATGTCCTCCTCCTCTCCCTTTCTTTTCCCTATTCCTGCTCTTTCAGTCTCCCCCGTGGCCTCATGTTTTGTACCATTACTACTAGTTCTGCATTCCCCTACACTGTGTCATGGCCTAGTGGTTAAGGAAATTTTGGGAGGAAGTTTGAACTTGATGATCCTAGAGGTCTTTTCCAGCAATGGTGATTCTATGATTCTATAGTTCAGTGGCTTAAAATTGCACATATCTGGCAAAGTCAGTTGTTTGTCTGGATTTCTGCTTCAGGTTTCTTCTGTAAGGGTTCTTGATAAGAGTCCTCTATGAAGTTTAGTTGAAAAAAAATGAGAGAAAAACAAGATGTTGTAAGATTTTTAATTTTTAATATTTAGAAGGCAAAATTTGATTAAACATCTTTTGGACTTCTTCAGTTTTCATTCACATAGTGATCTTCTTTGATGATCATCTTTGTGACCTTCCTCTGGACCCACTCCAACAGGTCCATGTCCTTCTTGTGTCAGGGGGTCCAGAGCTGGACACAGTACTCCAGGTGGGGTCTCACAAGACTAGAGTAGAGCAGCAGAATCACCTCTCTTGACCTACGGGCCATGATTCTTTTGATGCAGCCCAGGATATGGTTGGCTTTTTGGCCTGCACACACACATTGTTGTCTCATGTTGAGCTTTCATCAACCATCACCTTCAACTCTTTTTCCTCAGGACTATTCTCAATCCAGACTCTGCTCAGCCTGTATTTCTGCTCGGAATTGCCCTGACCCAGGTGCAGGACCTTACACTTAGCTTTGTTAAACTTCATGAGTTTGGCCTGGACCCATTTCTCAAAACTGTCCAGGTCCCTCTGGATGGCAGCCCTTCCCTCCAGTGTGTCAAGTGTACCACTCAGCTTGGTGTCATCCACAAACTTGCTGAGAGTGCACTCAGTTCGACTGACTGTGTCACCAACAAAGCTGTTAAACAGGATTGCTACCAGCACTGATCCTTGAGGAACATCATTCATCACTGGTCTCACCTTGGACATTGAGTTGTTGACCGCAACTCTTTGATTGCCAATTCCATATCCACAAAGTGGTCCATCTATCAAATCCATGCCTCTTTAATTTGGAGAGCAGGATGTCATGTGGGACAGTGTTGAAGGCATTGCACAAGTCCAGGTATATGAAAAGGCCAAAGGCTTCTCTCCTGAAGTCAAAGGTACTGAGCTTGCTGTGCACTCTTCTTGTCCTAAGGATCTTGAATTCCACTATTTTGTGGTCACTGCAGCCAAGGCTGCCCTTGCACGTCATGTTAGACACCAGCCCTTCATTGTGGATGAGAACAAGGAACACTGTAACACCTTTTCTCATTGGTTCATCTACCACTTGGATTGCTGGTGTCCCATTGTGCTGTCCTTCCAACAGGTATCAGGGTGATTGAAATCTCCATGAGGACCGTGGCCTGTGAACACAAACCCTCTCCTATCTGTCTATAGAGGGCCTTGTCCACTCGATCTTCCTGGTCAGGTGGCCTGTAGCAGAGGATCATTATGATATCACCTTCCTGTGCCTTCCCTTTACCACTGACCCATAAGCTCTTGATCAGCTCCTCATCCATCCCCAGGCCAAGCTCCATGGACTCTGGGTGGTTACTGATGTAGAGAGCAACACCCTCGCCTCTTCTCCTCTGCCTGTCTTTCCCAAAGAGCTTGTGTCCCTCCATTCCCACGCTCCACCTCTAGAAGCCATCGCACCAGGTGTCGGTGACTCCAATAACATCACAGCCCTGTAGGTGTGCGCACATCTTTAACTCCTTATTTTTGTTCCCCGTGCTCTGTGTGTTTGCATAGAGGCATTTAAGTTGGTCCCCACTGAAGCTAGCTTACTGGCTGGAGTAAGTGCTGGCTGGAATCCATTTTCTTGCACTTTAGGTTCTCTTTTGCTGGCCTGTGATTCTTGTCCAGTGTCAGGGCATCTGGTTTCAGTACTTGCCTCAAAGTGGCAAGAGGATCTCCTCCCCTGGCAACTCTAGTTTAAAGCCTTCTTTGCTAAACTGGCAAGCCAGTGGCTGAAGATGATCTCCTACTTCTCTGAGAGATGGACCCCATCAGCCCTCAGGAGACCAGGTTTCTCAGAGCGAGTCCCATGGTCTAAATAGCCACAGCCCTGGATCTGACACCGCTCCTGTAATCATTTATTGCTTTTCTTGATTCAATTGACCCTTTCAAGCCCCTTCCCTTTGGTCATGGGTATTGATAAAAAGACTACTACCACCCTTGAGTCCTTCACTGGTGCTCCCAGGGCTCTGTAGTCTCTCTTGGTGCTCTTCAAACTGCGTTCAGCTGTATCACCGGTGCCCACATGAAACAGCAGCAACGGCTAGTAATCAGTGGGATGCACAGGGTTTGGTAGTCTCTCTGTGACATCTGTGATATGAGCCCCTGGTAAGCAGAACACCTCTCTAGATAGTGGATCAGGCTGGCAAATGGGTGCCTTTGTAACTCTCAGAAGAGAGTCACCTATTACTGTCACCTCTCACTTTTTCTTGGTTGCACTGGTTGTTACATGTGGAGCTGATCTGGCTGCCTTACTCAGCTCTGAGGTGTTACCTGATGCAACCTTGTCTTCCTCTTGTTTTCCTGAGGTGTTACCTGATGCAGGTTCTGCAGAGCTGTGAGGTGGTTCTGCAGGGTCACCTGGGGCTTTGAGGGTGGTCTCCTCCTTCAACTAGTTCTTACCTCTACAAGTTTCCATTCTTCAGCGTTGTTGGCTTCCCCACTATCTGTGTGCACTGGTGGGGGGAGTTTCTGGCTGTTTGCCCGTAGGCTGTGGTTTCACTGCAGATTGCCCTCAGATCCAGCTGTCTATCTCCTTTTCTGCCTTTTGATGCTGTGCAGCCTTTTGACTGTCTCCTGCAGCTCAGCCACCTGCCACTGGAGGTCCTCCACCTGGGCATGCCTTTTGCAGACAAGCTTGCCACCCATCCATGACCCAGGAGAAAGGTCTAGGCACTTCCCACAGGCTGAGGTCTGCACCTCTCCCTTCAGCAACTGTCTGGGTGGAAGCACTGGTCATCTCCAGGGTGGATGGTGAAGACCCCCACCCAGAAATGTTCAAAGCAATTTCAGTAGAACTTGCAAGCCTTACTATTGGAAAATAGGTAGTAATTTTAATACACATTAGATGTCAGAGTGTGACAGAACTGAACTATTGAATCTCAGCTACACTCTT